ATATGGCAATAATATATGGCCATAATATATGGCAATAATTTATGGAATATATTTTTCGTTCGACAAAAGTCAATGCAAATTTGCGGCATGCACAATGTAATAATAAAAGAGCTCTCTGCGAGCATTGAGTCAAACGCTCACCGATGATGATATTGATGATGCCCCCATTGCATCCAACCAGATCCATCAATGTCCGTCCATGTCCGCTGCCGCTCTCCATGTCGTGCAGCATCCGTTTTGCAGGCAGCGCGTTCCACGTTGATTGCTACACTTTCGCTACACTTCCGCGACGCGGCCGATATTTGTATTAGAGCGACAATTAACGAACGTTTTACGTCGTTATCGGTGGAAACATTTTGCGCGTTGCGAAACGGACTCTATAAACTCGATCAGCGAGGAGCAAGAACCGTGTGAAAATTTATCGACTCGTCCAATTTTTATTTTTACGGCGCTTTTCGCGATCGCGTCTGAAAAGTCGCGAAAATGTGGGAGTATCGATATCTACGAAATATTCGCGACACGAATGCACGCGAGGAAAGATTAAATAATCAGAAACCGGTCGCCCCGAGGGAGCGCAAAGATAGAGGAGCGGGACAAAGTTTTCACGCATCGTCCGCATTCACGCATAGCTCCGTCACGACGAAGTTTACTTCGTTCGCGATACTTTGGCGAAATGAGAATTTAAGCTTTCTTTGTTAGCAGCGCGGGTAAAAACGCGTATTTTGATAACCGCGATCGCGATATTCAAAGGCACGCGAGCGAGGATACCTCAAGCTCGGCGTGCGCTGGCGCAATTTCTGAGCGCATTATACGCTACTCGAGACAATAGGGATCGTAATGAATGGACAATATTGCCAAATAATTCTACAGCCTGTTTTAGAAATAAAAGGAAAAGTAGCCAACGGTATCGGCATTTATGCGTATGAATATATTTTACATGGACAATTGAATATTGTCAAATAATTGTCGTTAAATAATTCTGCGGCCCGTTTGAAAAATGAAAATAAAGCAGCTAATAACCGTATCGCGTTTGTAAATATGAATATCTCTTATTCAGATGACCGAACATCAAAAGAGAATCATTCGGTATTTTAAATCTTGTATGTAATGCAGGCTATTGATTAAGTAATCCCCTGATTGTTTCGAGTAATGTATTTTATTCAACGTCACAAACACACACATGCAAGAATCTATTTGCAATTCGCATTGACTCGAACGCTATTTTTTATTTCCCACATCCATCATGCAGAATTTTGTTTCTCTTTTTATTCTGACTCACCGAAACGACTTGCAGTCAGAGCCGGCCATGTTCCGCTTTAACTCTGTAACAAAAAATTCACATTCGTTCATTAAATTTGACCAACAAGTGCGGGTGAGTAAAAAAGTAATTTACCCTCTGCGATCGTAATTCAAGTCGAGTCGGAAATTATATCCCATCTCTAGATCGCCAAGGGTCAAACAGAGGACTATAGTAAACTTGTAAACTTACCTTCAAGCCGACTCTGCTTGGCCCGAACCGGATCCTCCGGTGCGGCATCCGCGTCCGCCGGACTGCTGTTACTTTCCGCAACAACTGAAACAGAAAAATAATTTTCCCGGTTGATAACTTGCGGTAGAGAGAGAATATCTTTGATCGGGATGAATCGAAAATACGGAAATATTTTGATAAGGAATTTTTATCTTTATATTTTTGTTCCAACATTGAAAATTTAAATGGGACTTCAAGCTTTCAAGAGAGCTGATGAGGAACAAGTTACAAAGGCAAAGATCGTAAAGGGTTGAACACAGATGTGTAGGAAACTTGTAAATTTTACCTTCCGACCGACTCTGCTTGGCCCGAACCGGATCCTCCGGTACGGCATCCGCATCTGCCGAATTGTTGTTGTTTTCCGTAATAACTGAAACAGAAAAGTAGTTTTCCCAGTTGATAATCTGCGGTAAAGAGAGAATATCTTTGATCGAGACGAATCGAAAATACGGAAATATTTTGATATGGGATTTTTATCTTTATATTTTTGTTCCAACATTGAACATTTAAATGAGACATGAAGCTTTCAAGAGAACTGATGAGGAATAAGTTGCAAAGGCAAAGAGTTGTAAAGAGTTGAACACAGATGTGTAGGAAACTTGTAAACTTTACCTTCCGGCTAACCCTGCTCTGCCCGAACCGGATCCTCCGGTGCAGCATCCGCGTCCGCCTTGCCTCCCGCAACGTGTGGAACAAAAATTTTGCGTTCTTGGTTGGTAAGCTGCGGTAGACAAAGAATGTTTGGTCGGGATGAGTGGAAAATATTCGCTACGATTTTTTTTCTTCATTAACATTGAAAATCTAGATAGGACTTGGAGCTCTTGAAAGAGCTGACAAAAAAAAATGACAACAAGAAGCGGAGACAACAATTGTGTGCTCTCGAAAATACTCTTTTACGAATGGACATTTAAATTTAGATCCCGGAACGAAAGTAAATAGACTCCAAAGAAGCGCTGACCGAAAACAAGAAAGGTCGCAGTCTAAGAAGCGGTATGACGTTGAATATTCTACACAAGACCGGTATACTCACATAGTTGGGAATTATTCAGAATGTTTGATCGAGAACATGATGAATTAGAGATCCGCGTTCATGAACCGTTATCCGTCTCTGTCTGGATCAATATCTTTCATACAACAATCTTACTACAATCTTTATACAACAACGCAATAAAATAGATAGACAGACAGAGATTGACGAGAGTAATTGCAGATTCATGAAATGATGATTACTAGTCGTATGATGACGGATTGTGAATGCCGAGCGCAAAATTCCGACTTCTTATTCCCGGAAAATTCATCAAACGTCCGCTCTCGTTATCGGAGACTTCCCGCATGATAAATGATTCCACATACCTAGAAGCGTGACGTATCGGTGCCGGCGTCCTGTTTCCCAGCTGCTGGAGTCCTCCGGATTTCACTCACTCGCGCTTCTAATGCCGATACTCGCGATTCGACCGTGCGGTTAATCAACGCGATGCCGACGCGATGCCGACGGATTGAGTATCTCGAGGACCGACGAGATATATTTCTTTCAATTAAACACGAGACAGAAGTGACGAGCGTGTCGCGCACGGCTACTGTTGATGGAATGAGGACGAATACACGAGGTGCGCGAATATTACAACACGAAGGGCAAAAAGTGTCGTCGCTCGCGAGCCAATCAACACAATCGGCGCGATGTAAACATTGCGAGTCTAGGCGGCGGTTGAAGCAAGAGAGACTTGCCCTTGGGCGTCTTTTCTTTTCTCGAAGATTCCGGGATGACGAGGGAAATGCGAGGAGGTCTTTCAACTGTACGCGATATTGATTTACTATTTATTGATTATTGAAAATAAAGAAAATTGGTCTGTCGAAGCATTGGATATTTGTTAGCTTTATGTTAATTAAAGAGGAATGTGTACGATTAGAAAATGTGTTAGCAACTAATTGTACAGAGTGTCAAAGTTGTTGTGACGCCGCTGTCGGAGAGAATAATTAAAAGTCATGGTAGCGTTAAAGAGTGGAATTTCATCCCATGCGAATTTTGTCCCGTTCTTGTTAGTCCTGTATAAAATGTATTTAAAAGTATTGTTTCGTATTCACGAGATTTTGTTGTGAATTCTGCTTTGCGGGAATCTCAGATTGGATCGCGGGCCAATACTTTTCAATGCGACGGGGAATAGAACGTGAAAATCTTGTATGCCTCTGAATTCGAAAACAATTAGGAGAAGAAGTGAATACTTTTCAATACGAAAGTTCGCATTTGAAAATTATCGATTGCGATTGAATACAAGGCGTATTTGAAATGAATTGAATCCTTTTTAATGCGAAGCATTCACCATTGCCATCTCGCATTTAGAGCGGTGAAATTTAATGAGAACTAATACTTTTTAGTCTCTTTCTTCGGATCAGAAAGCAGAATTCAGACGTATTCAAAATGTCAATACTTTTTAATATGTTTCAGTTCGACATTTTATACAACACGGACATAAACCGCCTGAAAATGGATGTAGCACGGACTTCCACCACATGCAGATTTTATCACCGAGACCTGAAAGTGGATGTACCATCGTAGTTCCCCTCTGAAAATGGATGCAGATGGCGTCCTTTCCCAGTGCGGAAAGTCGGTGTCGCAGAAAATGTCGTGTTGGCCGCTTTCAGGTTTCTCTCTGGATATAGTATGTCTATTGGTTTGTTCTTTTTAGCTGCACTGCGGAACTAGTGCAATAAGTTAGAGTGAGACAACTATATTTTTTCTCACTTTAACTTATTGCACCAGTTCAGTAGTGCAGCTAAAAAGAACAGACCATATACCCTGGTTAGCTGAAAAGTCATAGATACGAATATAATAATTGTGGAAGAAAAGGCAACCGATTTTGCTTAAACTTAACAATATTGTGTCCTTTGATGTTATAAAACACGAATATGAATGAAAAAAGTGTCTTTTTCAAATAAGAAAAATATTGTAAAATGCTACAGAATAAAAAGCACGATCTATAAGGCTGGGTCTACAATAGATAGTAGTAAGCTTTAAGCCTTAAGAAATTAACCAATCCTAGTCGATTTTTACAAGAATAATCAAATAAGATTAGCCATTTTCTTAAGGCTTAAAGCTTACTACACCTATTGTAGACTCGGCCTTACACGCTGCAAACGCTTCGAAGTGTCCTACGGACCAATCACGGCTTTCCCTTGGGCGCTTCAAAGTATTTGCAGCGTCTAGTGGATTGCACCCAAAGTTTTGAGGTTTTCTCTCGCGTTTGTAACGTCAACTCTCACTAAATCAATTTGGGATTTGCTTTGGCTCCTGTAAACTCTTAAGTCCCTTGCACAATCACAATAGATTATTCTTGTAATAATCGATTGTGATTGGTCTATTTTTATTCTTATTGCTTGTTGCCTGGCATTGTGCAAGGGGCCTTAAGGGTCTATAACAAAATAATTTCTTAAAAATTAATAATTTGCCTACTAACTTTATACGAATTATTATTATACAAGTTTATCTAATTAAACTTTTATGTAACGGACAATCAAAGAGATTATTTCTCCGCAAGTAATAGGTTACGGGAAGTGATTGGTTATCGTGTTATTTTTGTTCAATGAGTTAAGCGCGTCGTGTTCAATGTGCGACAGTCGTATCTAAGTACGAGGTATTTCATTCAAAAGTCTCTAACTCAGTTGTAAAGAAAGACGTGACGTCAAGGTGAAGTCTCCGACTAAACTTTATCTTTTGTGATATAGCAACTCTGAGAACAAATGATATTTTCTGTATACTATTGTTTTCGTGTTATCGGAATTTGTACAAATTGTTCTCTCTTAACGTCTACTATTTAGGACTATTTCGAACGATTCTCGAAATTTGCAATCGGCATGGATCAGGCGCGAGCGAACGAAATTCAAGATTTCTACGAGGATACTCTCGAGGAAGAAGCAACAAGCAATCGTTGGAATGTTGACATGGATTTATTATATTTTTCATCAATAGACAATGCCACGAAGAAATGGATAGAAACACTGCAACATATGTGGTCATTATGTAAGCTGACATTTTCAATATAATCAATATTTTATCATTTTAATCATTATAGAGCCTTGTCTAATTGTTATTTATGTTTTTAGGGAAGAAATGCGACATTGTTAGCAAAACATTAACAGATTATTTTGAAACAGCACCAAATCCATATCTTAACACTTTGAAAATATTGGCAAATATTCTAAAGTTAAGACATATAAAATCTACAGAGCTTGCGCTTGATGGTATGCTCCTTAAATATTTATTTGATATACTACATATTTTATTATTAACTTTTTAGAATAATATATAATTGTATGTATCAATATGGAGGATATAACCTGAAATTTTTGTGATAGTGTTTTGCACTTTTGTGAATGTTATTGTATTTTCTTTGTATGAGGGACTTAATTATTTAATTTTCTATGCATATATATTACTATACAAGTTTGTTAAACTTTTATGCAGCCAAATCTATATTTTAATACTTTGAAAATATTGAGAAATATTCCAAGATTAAGATATATGAAGATATAGAACCTGGGTTTGATAATATATTTCTTAGATATTTATTCCATATACTATATTTGTTAACATTTTAGAGTGATATCTAATTTTATATAATAATGTAGAAGATATATCCTGAAGGAATCATATATCTCAGAAAGCTTTATTTATATATGTGTATATATATATATATATGTATATAGGAAAAAACTTAAATTTCTTTAAAGTAATAAACTTATAATTTTGATTATGTTATAGTCATAGAAGAGTTTTCAAATTGGCTTGAAGATAGGAAAGAAGTTTATCAGGATTTTCTTGTTCCTGATTTGAAAATAGCAGCTTTCAAATTAACAAACAATCAGAAAAATTTAGTTAAGAAGGTTGCTGTTGTATATGATTTTATGGAACATAAAGATATGTTCTTACAATTAATACAGGTATGTTATTTAAAATATAATTATATAGCATGTTTTATATTCACATATATATCTTTTTTCAGGGAATGATTCTGGAACAAAAATATAAAGAGGCTGCGCAATATGCCGTATTATTACAATTACAAAATTCCTTTAAAGATCCAGAGATATTGTTAATACCTTTGATTTTACAAAATAAGTTGGCAGTGATGGATGAATTTTTGGTTGGTTGCCCAGATATACAAGAAGCCTTGATAAGTTATTTAGATAACTTAATAGCACCAGGGAAAAACATGCAGTTTATGCTAGAACATTTTATTCAGTAAGTAATGAATGTATGTTATTAGGTACTCGAAAGCTTTATCTGAAATTTTTACTGAAGTAAATCCTTTTAGGAAAAATAATATACCAGATGTTAAGATATCAACGTCGCATATTCGCCCAATGACCAAGCTTATTACACGTTTAATAAAACAACATAATCTAGCACCTGACTTGTGCCCCCATTTAAATGCAAAACGAAGTGAAGGAGCAATACAATTTCTTATACATAAACGTTATATTGAGGGTAGTCTAAGTAAGTATCTATTTTTTTTCTTTACAGTTAAAAATTATTTTTACTATGTGTATGTATGAATTATAAAAATGTATGTAACACATTTTTCAACTAAATTTTCTTTATCACAGGTATTGATAGCTGGAGGGAGATGGTAAGAGAGGCAGTAGGCAATGATCCTACCTTACAAGCAAATCTACTCTCCATGTTAGTTAATGTTAATGATGAGAAAGAAGGTTTGTATTGGGCAAGAGAATTTAAGATACCCAAAAATCAATGGCCATGGCATATTGTACATGCAGAAGAACAAGAAGACCAAGATGGAGAAAGTAACGATGTTATCAATATTCTTATTCTTGTATCTAAAAGCATATCTATAATATTGCATTTTGCAGATATAAGTGAGGGTGCTTCTGCTAGTAGTGAAAAAAGTTGGTTAAGTGAAGATCATGTAAATTATTATGTTCTAACATTGCCTAGGGACCGTATAAAAGTGATAGATAATAGACGTTTATTTGAAGAATTTCTTGATAATGGATTGAAAGGCATCAATATGGTTGGAATTGACTCGGAGTGGAAACCTAGTTTTGGTAATAAAATATAGTTTTGACTATACTAAAGATAGACTAAAAAACAAATCGCAATATTTTATGTAAATAGAAAACATTATGTTTCTACAGTAACCAAACAGTCAGAGTTAGCACTTATACAGCTTGCCACTAATGAAAATGTTTATATCCTGGATGTAATTACACTCAATGAATTACATGATCTTTGGAGTGAACTCGGTCTTACATTATTTGGGAATCAAGATATAATCAAAATAGGTATCTCTGAAATATAGATAGTTTTTAAAACGTCTCTTATATTGTACATGAATTATTATATTTCATTATTATATGTATTACAGGATTCGGAATCGCACATGATATGACAGTAATACGTAAAAATTTACCTGCTTTGTCATCTATAAAAACACATGGACAGGGATACCTGGACTTAATGCATTTATGGGATAAATTAGTGGATGATTGCAACTTTGTTTTTCCATATCAAGGTGACCCAAAATTTACAGGCAAGAGCTTAAGTAAGCTCGTGGAATTGTGTTTCGGGTTAAAACTTAACAAATCTGACCAATTCTCTAATTGGGAATTGAGACCCTTACGTGAAAGCCAAATAATATATGCTGGTTAGTACTTAGATTTTTTTTAATTGAATAAAATATGAAGTTTTAATGTCATCATAATTTGTTATATTTATCATGATAGCATTGGATGCATATTGTTTGTTGGAGATATATAATTTACTAGCTGAATGTTCATTAGACATGAGTATACCATTTCAAGATATTTGTAATGAAATACGACATATTCCACAAAAGTCTCAGAAAACAAATACAAATAAGTCTACATACAAGGTATAAATCACAAAGAATTATATCAATATGTTAAAACAAGACATTAAGTAGTTTATAACTTTATGAGTTTTAACATTAGTATGCTTATTAAGTTAGTAAAGTTATTAACTTTATAAGTTTATATTCTTTATATTTCTTCCTTTATGTCTTCCAAGTGATATAATTCTTTGTTCCTTCAACTATAAAAGATTATAGAATAACACTGATTGTTGTAACTTAAAATTATCATTGTATATATCTCGTGACATAAACTAAGATGCAATAAACATTAAACAAATTTATTGTCTGAATAATTTCGATACCGCTTCATATGTGCTCATTAAATTATTGATTATTTTGTAGAAACCTGCACATCTTAATTTAGCAACAGATAATAGAGGCAACGAAAATTATCCTATGAATACGGGAGCTGTGCCAAAATACGACGGAATGACTAATCACGGATCTATACCTAAACATGGGTTTTCACAAAATAATCAGCACAGGCATGACAATCGTAAGAAATACGATAAGCAAAAAAAATATAACTACAATAAGCATGATAGTTATAATAAGTACGATAATTACAACAAGCCGGATAGTTATAATGGAAACAATAATCACAGCAAATACGAGAACCACAACAGATATAATAATTATAACAAAAACGACAATTGTAATAAACGCGAAAACCAAAATAAACAAACACACAGTCAGAATAGATATGATAACCAAAGCAGATATGATGATCAGAGCAGATATGATAATCAAAATAAACGTGACAATCATAATAGATATGATAATCAAGATAGACGAGACATCCAGAATAGACAAGATACTCGCAATAGGCAAGATCTTCAAAGTAAAAAAAATACTCGGAGTCGACAAGATATTCAGGGTAAACAAGATTTTCAAAATAAGCGAGATATCCCAATAAGACAAATAGGAGTTCTCCAATGTAGTAAGCCACAATCTGCAAAAATGTATCGCGATCCAATCGCCGCACATACGTGGCGTGTTGTGTGCGACACGATGTTGGGTGGCTTAAGTAGCAGATTACGAATGTGTGGTGTGGATTGTGTACATGTATTATTTGATGAAGGAGGAAATGAATCTGCTAACTTAGCGATGGTTGAGCACAGGTTTCTGTTGACACGTCACAGAAACTATCAGAAAGTAAGATTTCAGTTTATACTTTGTATAATTATAGCAAATTATAACTGATTCTTTAAGCTTGTTTATACAATCAGCATACAATTGATTTGGTCATCGACAGTTACATCAGAGATTTACTAAATCGGCTTTATGCTGTTTGTGTAAATGTAGAATAAGGATATTACTAAATCCATTGTAAGTGAACATAGCCTATGATAGTAACAATTCTAACAATTATTACTATAATACCTTTATAGTTCGAGGTTTACGTACCACTGGAGAAATGCTACAGAGTATTGGAAAATACACCTGAGAAGCAGCTGTGCGAAGTTTTAAGGCACTTCGATGTCGTGGTTACGCAAAATGACATTTTTAGTCGCTGCCAGAAATGTAATAACGATGAATTCGTTAAAATCCCAAAATATATTATGGATAAACTGATTCAAAGGTGAGTGAATTAAAATCAATCAATTTGTACATATACTTATCAACTCTAAAATCTTTTCTTTTTAATTTCATATGTACGTACAATTTGATTTAAATTCATATAGTAAAATTAACTATTCCAAATTTGATTTTTAGTTTTGTCAAAAATGCAAAAAAGAACCATTATCGTATGGTTCCTCTTGAACAGATGCATCAGTTCAATGATACATCAAAAACGATACATCAAAATATCTTCAGTATCGAGGACGATACTTCAAGTGACGATTTCGAATTGGATGCAAATATAGTGGATTACTTTCCAAACAGTGAACACCGTAAGTGGCGCCTATCCACAAACTTTGATAGTATTGACATTGCGATGTGCACGACAAAAAATCAAATACGAATACAAATTGATAAAGTCCCTATAAAAATACTGAGGAGTAAGCAAGTTTTTTATGTATGTGAACATTGTGGAAAGATATATTGGGACGGTTCACACTTGGAGCGAGCACTCAATGGTGTTCTTAAAGATATAATTGTAGAGTGGGTGTGTTAAATGTGATAGACTCGAAGACAGGTACGCTCAAAGGATTGAAAAAGCACAAGAATCAAAATCGTCCTTAGTCTAAAGCTTCGAGAACATAATAATTGTTCCTAGAACAACGCCAATGATAAGTATACAATATTGTCAAGCTTATCATAAAGACGTTTTGTCGCGTTAGTATCTGCGACATAGAAATATATATTCGTATCAATATATAGTTACCATTCCTTTCTGCGTTTCTAACGTCTGATATGACAATATTGTATTTTATAATATACTGTTTATTTTAATAATACATATTACATTAATATTGCCATTAGATAAGGTTAATTCGATTAGATTGTTTATATTATATTTGTTACCTTATATTATAGTTTTAATGCTATGAATTTTTGAAGTAACTATCGAACTAATAGTTATTACTGAAACGTTTTATTAACACAGCATGTTAAATGGTCTATAAAACGTTTATTAGAATTAAATTTTTTGTTTAATTGAATGTGTGCTACAAGAAAATTTTTTCTGATTTAATGGTTATAGGAACCATTGTGTCTTCGGTCTACCCTGAGATCTATTTAGCTATATAAGATTTTCTTTTTCTCCTTTGTCTAGAGATCAAGTAGAATAATTTCTTTAAAGTTGCTTCCTTTTTTCTTTTATAGTCCCAACTCATTTTATATGTTCTTCATGTATTAATAAATTAATTTTAGCATATCTCAATCGTCCGACTGTTTTATTCAATCGTCAGATTAAAATCCTGTTGCCCATCTGGTGTTTTCCCCCCAATTTTTATTTCTATCGCCCTTTTATCTCTCGCACTATTAATAAACCACACTAATCACTCTCTGCTCAGCGAGACACGTCCGCACGTTTCCTCATCTATAGGTTATTAAAGAATAATTGATTATGGTTGGTCAATTTGTTTACGGCTTACGACTTAACAAAGTTGTGGACCAGGACTAAGTGCGATAAAATCTATTGTCAGTCTTAGGAAAGAACAAGAGGTAGGTTCAGGTCGAGCGTCAACATCAATTCCAAAATAAAAAATATTTTGAATAAAATATAATTTAACGTCTCTCCAAAATAAATGTGTCTTTTTGTAAAAAAATCCCTCAAAATTAATTGGAACACCTAATAATTCATTCGTATAATTTTTCATTTATTCCCGTTGTTCGAATTTAGTTGCAAAATATGTAACGGCGATCACACATTATGCATGAAATTAAAATACATCTGTATATGTATCATAGCAATGAAAACGCAATTTTCAAACTGTTCTAAATAGTTTACCGAAAGTTTTTCTTTTTTTTAAATACATTTATCACACTGATCTTGATATTATAGTACAAATATCTACAAAAAAATACTTAAAACATTTTACACTATGTCGTTTTATCTACTGACGGGGATTCTCTGGGTGAATCAGATTCTTCAAATTCTGCCGGCTCTATAAGCCGTTTCTTTCCATATGGTGGCGGCCCAATTAAATTTTCTACATCATCATAAGTCAACGTTTCTCTTTCTAATAAAGCTCCTGCAAGCTGGTCGCAACAGAAACATTTATACACATAAGAAAGTCGTAAAAAATATAGAATATATAATTTGTAAATGTACATGTGAGAGGTAAAATATATACATACCGTATCCAACTTGTCCTTGTTGTCCAAAAGTAATTTCCGAGTTTGTTCGTACGCTTCCGCGATCATCTTCCTCACTTCAATATCCATTAAATTGCCTAACTTTTTACTGTACGGTTTCTTGCTTTCCTATAGAAGAAATTCAAGTTATACGATATTCTCTCAATTTGCAAATGTAATTTGCAAAAGTATCATTATGCCATACCATATCAGTATTTTCTTTAAAAGAAATTAAACCTATAACTGGGTTCATGCCATACTGTTGAACCTGCACATACGCTGTCTTCGTTACTTTTTTTAGATCATTTTCCGCTCCCGTTGAGATCTTATCGAACGTTATGTGCTCTGCCGCTCGACCACCTAACATCATGCACATCCGTTCGAATAATTCTTCTTTAGTGTGGAGCTTCTGATCGGACTGAGTATATTGAGCGAATCCTAAACTCAAGTTAGTTCGCGGTACTATCGTTACTTTGAGCAAAGCATCGGTGTGCTCCAACAACCAGCCCACCAACGCGTGACCGGCTTCGTGATAAGCAACCACACGTTTCGTGGATGGTGTCAGTGGATTATTCCTTTTCGTTAAACCACCTATCGTTCTATCGATTGCATACATAAGATCGTTGCTATCAACTTGCTTCTTCTTGTCCCTCGCAGCATGTAGCGCAGCTTCATTGCAAACGTTCGCTATGTCAGCACCTGGAAATAATTTTTTTTATGTAGCAACTAGAATAAGGATACATATAATATGTGTCATTTACTTCACAAATATATTTATATACGGTACCGCTGAAACCAGGTGTGAGATAAGCTAAGTATCCCGAATACTTCGAAGGTTCGTTTTTCAAAGATATTTTCTTGAGGTGAGTCTCGAAAATTTGTTGTCTCTCCTCTAATGTGGGAAAATCGATTAAGATGTGCCTGTCAAATCTACCGGGTCGCAGTAATGCTTTGTCCAACACGTCCGCCCTATTTGTTGAAGCTAATATAATAACATCTTCTTTCGAAATCATTCCATCCATTTCTACCAAAAGTTGATTTAGGGTTCGTTCGGACTCGCTATTAATAATTCCAAGTGAATTGTCTGAACGTTTCTTGCCGATTGCGTCAATTTCATCGATGTATATGATACTTGGTGCTCTACGAGAAAGAGATTAGGAAATAAATATGTTAATATTATTAAAACGAATCACTTAGAAATCACTTAGAAAAAGATGATAAGACGATCGAACCTTTTTTTGGCCTCTTTGAATAAATCCCTAACTCGAGCAGCTCCTAAGCCACCAAATACTTCGATAAATTCAGAACCATTCATTGATAAGAATGGTACACTTGCCTCAGTCGCCACTGCTTTAGCTAATAAGGTTTTACCGCAACCAGGAGGTCCCAAAAGCAGGGCACCTGAAAAATAAAATTACATAATTAGATCTTGTATTATATGAAATATACTTATGAATATTAATTTTATATAAAATAGATTCTCAAAATATATAATCAAGTAAAATATGATGGTAAAAACTAGTGTTGCCGGTCAAATGAGATTTAATACCTTAACAAAAGTATGAAAATGTATAAAATTTCTTCATAAAAGAATTTTTTTAATGTATCACTTGACCAATAGTAGTGACTTTTGTTTGTTTCCATATTTTATTTGGTTAATTCTGGACATATTTAGTTAGTAACATAATTTACATATTTAATGTTATATTAGTAACATTCTAAACATATTTAGTCTTACCTTGAGGTACCTTAGCACCAAGCACTTTGTAACGCTCAGGTTGCTTAAGATAATCAACAAACTCCATCACTTCTATCTTAGCTTCTTTCAGTCCAGCTACATCTGCAAAATGTACACCTTTACCTTTCCCCACAAATGGCTCAACCAACGTGAATTTTGCTTGTTTCATCTGTGAGATAAAACCAAGGGGATTGATAGAAAATCGTTTCTTGAAGAAAATGAAGAAAACAACAGTTATCAACAGAAACAACATAAATTTTATGATGCTTGATATAAATTCCATTTTTCTCTCATATATAATTTGTACCCCATGACCTGAAATATTTCAGATAAATGTAAAGTATGCAAAAGATTCCATATAGTTTTCATTATTGTTTTCCATAAATATTTTACTTACCAGCTTTTATGCCAAGACTTCTTTCCACTTTTCTCAGCTTTTCTTCAAAATGCTCAATGTTTGGAACAGACATTAAGTATCTATTATACATGGATTTATTTCCCTTGATAATAGCACCTTCATGAAGCAAAATTTTAACATATTCAATATTAGGATTCACAAAAATGGCTTCAACCTCCCCTTTGGCCAACATATTATATACAAATTCATTCCAGGAGACAGATAGTATAGGCTATTTAAACACCCGTGATTATTAATATTTCATATCCTCAATGATTTTTATGATCCATAATGATTAATAAAAACTTACTTCTATATTACTATCTATTTGTTGTTTTAATGCAATCAGAAAAATAGATATGCATACAGTCAACATAGAAAGCTTACGAAGAAATACTTTCATTTCCTCATTTTGGTCAGGTTCCTTATCTGGATTCTCAGCACCAGATTCTTTTGATGATTGTTTGTTAGAATTGCTACCTGTTGTATTAAAATATCTTACATTATCAAACCTTGGGAAAAAGTTGAATACTCCCATGTTACTGCACAGTAGTGCAGACTGTACAGTGTGAATTTCCTTGCATATTTTTCTAAAAACCTGGAAAAATATATAGTATTGCAGTGATACTTTCTTACCAAATATATTAACATTTGTATCCTATACATGTAAAATTTGTTAAATTTGTAAGCATAAATATTACACTTGATGTTATCGTGAATTAAAAATCGGCTAGTTAAATCTGTTGATAAGTATAAAATATAAGTACTAGTTAAAATATACAAAACAATAAATACTTGCATGATAAGACATAGGGAGAAATAACCTATTTGATCCATTCTTATGTGCACAGCTTAAATATTTAACGTCAAAAAAGACTTTCTTTTTGGGATGGAGATAAGCATTCTTGGGTAAGAAATTAAATATTTGGCTGAACGTTACATAGTGCCGTTTCGGGCACTTGGTTAAATTTTGCATGATTCAGATTTGCAGATTATAATCACAAAATAACCTACACGACGTGCACAATTACTCTCTCATGACTTAGGTTTGTTCTTTTTTGCTGTGCTAGGACTGCACTGAATCAAGATACGTTAACAAGAGATTTGTTCTTTTTTGAAGAACTTTCTGAACTGGTGCACATTAGTGCAATAAGTTAGAATAAAATAAGAGATTAGATGTAAATTCTCGAAGAATTTCTGAACCAGTGCAATAAATTAGAATGTGGAAGAAAATGAGAAAAAAAATAAAACAGCATGCCGGGTTTCGAAACCCTCTGTTTTAGCGCAACAAACTAGCTGCTTATTTTCACGACCAGCGCAAATTTTTGACTTTAAAGGCTTTAATATCTCTACTTGAGTACAATATCTATATATTAAACTGTTCCCTTTTCTCCTTGCAAACACTCAACAATTCATTGTATAATTTTGCACGCTGATTCGTAAAAATCTCAAAGAAAGAAATATTTTCGAAATCAGATGAATATGTCAATTCCCTTGCGAGAAGATTAGTATCTCAAATTACTGATATCATTTCCATCTTCTCAGAGGGCGCGTCAAAAGAAGCGTCCCAGCGTAACCGGTCCGGTGGCCGCTCTCAGGTTTCTCTCTGGTCTCGGTTAGTATCTTTCTCATGCTTCTGTCAGATGGCAACACAAAACAGATTTTAGAGAGATATATTGAAGTTACCCCCACCCGAACTCGCCAGTCGCCATAGAGCTCGGAAATCTGCTCGAAATACTCGATGAACTTCGGGTGAGTTATCTCGTTATTTAGTCTTGATATACGCGAGAAACTCAACGAGGTGCTCCATGTTACGACGTGCGGAATCCGTAGCGTCTCGGTAGAATTATTATTCGAACGATCATCACCGAAACTTACCGTGTTTCTTTACGGGTACACACCGTGGTGCCGAGAGACCGACACTTCTTTTCGTGCATTGCAAAAAGAGTATACGCTCTGACAGTTTGTACATTCGACGATTTATGCACGAATAATTGCGCGATCGTGTCACAGAGCAATCCTCTCGCATAGAGTAACGAATTCGAGCTCGCTCGTTCAATTCTCACAACTGGTCGCTCGCGAAGCACTGGCACCGCAACAGCCGAGGGTTATCTTCCGATTCTTGACGATCTGTTTGTTTTCTTTCTTGAAATTCTTTTCTCCCGCAGGTATTTTAGCATCTCTGTCGTTTCGTACGATGCCCGCCTGGCATGACAAACGACAGATGGCTCAAAACTACTTTATTAAACCAATTTCCACTTCCACCGCCTGATCAAACGATCATGATAGAATAGCATCATTTAACCGAGCCATCATTTACCGTCAAAATGAGTGTCGGCACTACAGGCGTTGCCGAATTATTCCATCTACTCGAATCTAATAAACTCGGGGAAGTTGAGGAGATCAAGAAAGTATTCCATGATCATTTCTTATCCAGTGAGTAATGTGAATTTTATCTCGTTAAATGTAAGCAAATTATTTCTGACTATGTTGATTCATCTACAGCAAAGGATAACTGGCTAGTAAATGGATTATTTGATTATTACCTATCCACCAATTCCCTGAGGACTGCTGAAGTATTGGCAGGAGTTCGTGATCCACATGACAAACATCTATTGGATCGTTTATCAGATATTCTTTCAAAAACTGGCAATTGCGGACAGAGAATACAGGCACTTACATTGCTTAGCCATATAGCTCGACGTCAACCTACTTGGTTGTACAAGCTAGCGAGTCATGCTTTATTCAGAGATCTACTCAAGTTACTTAAGGTAACTAAGAATATATTTTCTGGATATTGGTATATATATATATATATTCTTCATGTGATATACACATATATTTCTTCATTAATTTATTAATTTCTAATATGCTGACATCATAATAGCTTTAGCATTATTATCAAATTATAAGTTTTATTTTTAAGTTGTTGTATATTGTTTTGTGTGTATAATTTGATTACTTATTATTTTATAGATGTAAATGTTTGATATGCCAGTAAATAACGCAATTATATACTACATACAATATTTAATATGAATTAAGAATTTTGTGTGTCCTAAGCACTATTCGGTATTTAATTGGGAATTAATTTTAAATATTAGAAATTGGTAAGATTCTGTAACATAGTTTTATAAAATTTTATTTTTTAAGGTGGAGGCAGATATATTACCGCTTATGAGCGCCCTTCTTCTGTTAGTAATGTTGTTACCAATGTTACCTGCCGCCCTAGGGCCATATCTACCAGAAATATTTGAGGTATTCGGCCGATTGGCCTCTTATTATCACCATCAATCGTCCTTACTTTCTCCTTCTACTCTTTTTACTTCGAGTACAGTAGCAAACATCATCGACAAGGAGCATTTGTACCTCATACATTTGCAGGTGAATGTTTTTGATCACTTTCAAATACCATGTAGCAGCTAACGAAACCAATTACTGCCACATTATAGGTAGGATTATACAGTTTATTTCATAGACTGTACGCGATGTATCCCTGCAATTTTATATCATACCTGAAGCAACAATACATTCAACGTGATCAATTGGCTACGTTTACTCATACTATTAGACCCATGTTGGATTCTGTGCGTATGCACCCTTTACTTGTTACTGCGTCTAAAGATACAGAAATTTCAGCCAATAGGTATACATATTCGTTATCTGTAAAATAATAGATTTCTTTTATCTCACAGTATGTCATTTAAACCACTCGTATGTTGCTTTTATTTTGTGATAGGTGGAAAAAGATGGAACATCATGATATCATGGCAGAATGTGGTCGTTTTACATTAGATAGATGTCGAGAGGAAATATTAAGCATAGTTAATTCTCGGTGTACTCCACCTCCAGGTCAGCATTATTACTGTTGGTCTGTTATTTATTTATTCTACATTTAATGCGTAAAATGTAGTTGCTTGATTCTCAGCTCGAGCTCGATAACGATGATTTTTGTACAAGAAAATTAGAATTCAATATTTTAGGCAAATCGAGCGCTACATGTGTGATACGAATGCGAATTTTCTCTTGCTCTTAGAAATGTAAGAAGAATTACGTTTTATGTATCCACAGATCAGTCTTTCACCTGCACACCGATAAATATTTGCGGCGGAGCAACGACTACGGAATTTAGTAATGGAGAAGATGATACATTCTGGTCACCAAGCGTGACGGTGTCACCTCATAGTCCACCATTTCCAAATGCATCGCACGAGCCGCGATCTGCCCCACCGACGCCTAATAACAATAGGAGCGGTACTTCTCCGCCTGAGGCTGCTATCGAAGCTACTCCTGAAACAACCCCCGTCAAGGTGTGTGTAAAACCGACATTATCAAGCGTATAAAACGAGTGACATACTCGCCTGAACTTCCAACATTCTGAGCCGGATAACATTAATTATTCAATACTGTACAAAAAATTGATCTTATGCTTAAAATGTTATGCCCCATTTAGGATTTACGAAAATTATCAACGAGGCAGGTGCCCTTGGGATCTAGCGCGGCGCGTGCTCTGAATGCATTGGGCAATGGTACAATAAGCACATCCTCTCGGCCATCAACGCCCACTCCTGTAAACTCTTCTGTGTCGGTTCTTGGCTCTACAGCAAGAAGCGGGGATATTGCAATGAACACGCATGGGTTTCTTTCGCAAAGGCTAAATAAAATCATGGCGGATAGACAAAGTGTTCTTCGCCAGTCGCAAAAATCATTGGCCAACAATGAAGAGGATACGAGACTTTTAGAGATGGATCTAAGTCAGAATGGGAAAAACGATTCTTGGCAAGAAGATCAAGAGGTTTGGGCAATTTATTGTATTGACCAAACTCTATTGAATAAAAATGCAGAAATCATATACTGGCATTTTGCCAACGCGCAATGTGTGTAGGTACTGGAAATTGTCAGTTCGCACGGCACTGGAGCGGTTGAAATGCCAAAATTTGTCGAACCACAGTCTGAAGCGCGATGTGAGAAGAATGCGTATGGTGCTTTAACGGACTTGTCGCAAAAGGTCTATCAATTTCGATTATATTCTGAGTGCTACTTTCCGATGCAACAGTCAAATTTGAGTGCAACGCACAAGGTGGAGTATCAGAAAGTGGATTATGACACATCGTATCGCTTGCGCAACGGCAATCAAGATGCATTTATGATGAAAGAACACGTATGCGCCTGTTGCAGATCCGGCAAACCAGATCTTGTCCGGATATGACAGTGCAGAGTAAACTGAATAACGAGGACGTAGCGAATCAAATCAAATTAATAGATACGAGCACCCAAACAGGTGATCTGTTTCCATACGAGTGTCTGTTTATGGGAATGTTAGATCAGAATAGTCAAAATTCTGTTCAAGAAAGTCCCGACTCAAGACTGTCGCCAGTCAGCATGCTGGATCGATATATCGAGGCTTGTACAAGAATCAATTTCTTTAGCAACAACGGGAAAATGAGTAAATATGAGATATAATATGTACAATACATGACAAAAAAAACAAGTATTTTTGTGTTCTTAGTCTTTTAACGACGGTAACTTTGTTGTGACGCGTCGTTGCACTGGCGTCACGTAGCGTTGTGTGATGACGCTTAACGATAGCGATATCGTCGTTAAAAATTACAGAGAATAAGCACGCTGGGTAAGCGAGGTGAGATACAAGCTTTTCTGTTGCAGGAACAAGCGGTACTAAGCAAAGGCAAAAGAAGAAAGGGGAGGATGATATGGATGAGGACGGAGGAGAGGATGATGGTATAGACTCGACTTGTGCTAATCAGTTGCTTCAACTTATGCAAATGCAGCTGCAGTTTGAGCGGCAACAACGAGAAGTTCATGCCGAGCGTAATCGGCGACTTCTCGGTAAATTGAGAGATTCGCGAGCTTCAGAAGAACATAATCTTGCTTTGGTACGTTTGTATTTTTCTTGTATAATATTTTTCTCATCAAGTTCCTATGTAACTGTAGACTCGCCGTTTTTGATATTACAGACTGATCGTTTGAAAATGGTAGAAAGAGAAGTAGAAGAATTGAAGACGCAGCTGGAACGTAATAAAAAGGAAGCGCATCAAGCTGAGGAACAATATAAAGAAGCTACACATCATTGGCAGATCAAAGTATAATTTTTTTTATGTATTATAGAAGAACCTGATTTAGACGACAGTACTGATTGTGCTTTTTGCTTTTGTAGTGTGTTGAAGAGCAACGACAGAATCATGTGCTCAAGGATCGCTTAGAGTGTCTCGAACTGGAATTAAAGAGCGAACAAAAAAAGGCAGCCGAAACACAGCAACAACTTCGTTCGACAGGAGCGGAGCTTTTTACTGCGGGGCACCAGCTCAAAGCGGCGTTAAAAGCTGCGGACCGTGGTAAAGAGCTCGAACGTGTTCTGGATATTGTACAAAAAAGATTTCTTCTCCTAGGAGAGGTAATTATTGTTAATGATTTTAAATTAAAAAAAAAAGAAAAACTAATGTAGAGAGTAAACTTTGTGTGTTGATCTCTTTTCTTTTTTTTCTCTCTCTTTTGATGCAAGTAATCGAATCCGTAACAAATTAACATTTTTTTACTGCACGTTACGAAAATAATTGTGTATATTTCTCGCAGGCGCAACTGAAGCTGAAGGAAACTACGGATAATTTTTCACCGACGATTAAACAAGAAATGACGCAAATGCAGAAATCGTACACGGAGGAGTTAAACAGTAAGCGTTCAAACATAGCTAAAAAGAAAAAAGAAAAAAAGAACCATGTCTCTCGCGTGATCGCGTTGCAAGTTGCAATCGTGTGTGACGCTTTATCTGAAAACTATTCTCGCAGATATTCGTCGGCAACTGGAATCGCGAACGTCTCATGTGGAGGCGCTGAAGGTGCGTCTAGGAGAGTTAGAAAATAAAGAGGCGCGTAAGGAGATGCAACTCATGGATCTGCAACGGCTCTTGCGAGAAACGAAAGAGCAACACGCATCCGAGGTAGAAGCCGTTGAATCAAAGTACAGAGCTCAAGTGGAGATCAATCTTCTCCTTGAAGGTTGCGTACTCGAGCTTCACGGCAAACTAGAGGCCGCCACATGTTCTAACACGTGCTCGCCTATGGCTAATCCCGCTTCATCAGCATCGCCCAAGGAACGATCTCCACCGCTCTCAACCAGCTTGGCCTCGTCCAGCGAGGGTAGCCTCGCGTTCATGCACTCAGGCGCTGGGATCATCATGAACGATTGCTGTGATGCGGCGGGCGAAATTCCAAATTTGCAAGCCATGATAGAGCCTGTGCCGAGTCAAGTCGCCTCACCGTCACGTTCTACTCAACGACAGACGCCGAAGCAAGACTAACAGTACGCGGAAACGTTCGCCGCGCGAGCTTCTTTTCGTGACACGATCGGCGGCTGCGCGCGCATACGACCGTTATTCATAGCGTTGCGATGTGAAAGCGAGAAGAAAGTTATTTGTAGCTTTTTATTGATAGAATAGACGAGATTCGTAAGAAAGTTATTATCGACTGATTGCGATCGAACAGGCATGCTAATCAACGTGTTTGTTAGTATGGTATATCTCCGTTCTTTGGAAACGGAGTTCACAATGAATAAATGGTTGAGATATTTTGTGAGCAATTTGATTAATTCAATCTACGCTCGACGTGTGTCGTATCCCGACTCCGTTTTCGTTTTAACGTTTGCCCCGGGATTCTCGTTAGACTGTTATCAACGAGATACCATCGGGGAGACTCGCGACGCTGTGAGTAGATGCTCGTAACTCTCAATCACGGAACTCGGAAATCCCGCTGATAATCGAATGGCGTTAGCATTATCGGTCGTTCCCCATACATCTGTTGTATATCTGAGATTTTACCGTATAATAATACACTATTAATTTTATAATTTGATAATTGTTTTTTTTTCTTTTTTTTGTAATTATACACATTTATTTACTGTGCAGTGATATATACCTGTAAAACTGTACTCTTCCATCGTTTTACATGTATTACCGGTGCGTTAAAGTACGAAGATGAATAAGCAAGGAGAGAACACACATAGTCTGAAAAAGTATATATTACGCTAGGAGCATACACGTTATGTGGTATAATTTACATTTATGATATAATACTGAATGAGTAAATTCACTTGATGTTATCAAAAGACAACACGTGACGATGGGGTGATGATGATATCAAAATTCTCCTTGGCATACAAATGCTATAAAAAGATTAATTTTGTTGAGTTTCAATTTGTGACAATACATTGACACGTATCGTCATCTTATACACGCTGATAAATAAGTAATTAGAATTTGTTGTTTCTCTATCAATAGGTTTGCAATTCTTGGCTTATCGTCATGAGAATGGCATCGTCTGGATTAGCATAATTTGCTAAATCTGAAAAAAATAAAACTAATGAGGAGACGGGTTGTTAGTTAGTTACGAATAACATATTTACAATGAGAAAAAAATCGGTTAGAGAATCATTGAAGGATCTGTCACCAAAAGTAAAAAACTAATTTCACCGTGAATATATAACGATATCTTATTGATTACGAAACGAACTAAAATATTACCAATAACGTTTAGCTTGGAAATATTTATATATCCACATAATCGTTTACTCACGATTATGGCCTTGATGTAACGGATAAGCCTTGAACTTTCTCAGTAAGAGTTCCATCATCCAGAATCCACTTAACCATAGAAGTGCGCCTACTGAGAAGGCCCTGAATGCAGTAATACCTCCGTAGGTATCTATAAGCCAGCCACATATGAAGCTACCACTTGACACTCCTAAAACAAACAATGAGCAGAAACCTTATATTGAGGTAGAGAAGAGAAGAAATCTTAAACTATGATGAGACGAGTGACCAACCGATTCCCTCGAAAACGGCACCAATAAAACCTTGCATAGTGGCTTTTGTGCCAGATGGTGTTACTTTGTCGCCATAGGACACCATTGTCGGCCAACATAGACCGAACGAAGGCCCATGGAGTAGTTCAAGAATTAAAAATAGCCACGGATTCGATACAATACTATATGCCATGAATCTATGGAACAGAACCGATAAGTTTTTATGAAAGTCTGCAGAATTAATGAGTCGCGCGTATAACGAGCAAGTTGCAAAAAGAGTCACTACTAACCTAATTGCATAGATAAGCAGCACGAGACTCATGACGTTGATGTGACCGAGTTTCTTCAGCACGCTACCACACAAGAAATTGAAAGGCATTTCCCCTAAGAAGCATTGAACACCGGTCAAAAGACCCTGCAAAGTTTTAAGCCACGCAACATCAGAGCTTCTGGCTAAGTCTTCCGTATACCAGAAGAGAAAGTTCCATATGACACCCGTGCACATTCCAGCGCCTATGCACCACCAGCCGAACACCAATACTCTTCCTTCTTTCACAACGCTTAATAGTTCCCACAATAGCGACGGTTCATCTCCATTACATTCAGGGTTTCTCTGTAACGATACTGCTTTCTTCCATTACCTGCCAATTTCGGATTCTTTCGATAAGAAAGAAGCATCAGACTTTTGTACTCTGTTTTAATTTCAATTTGTCGTCCGTACAACTACAGCGATATCTACTTGAAAATCCCGTATACCTTTCTCAGTGTCGTAGATACAATGAAATCAAGAATCATCGCTACCAACATCATGTAAAATATGCAATCGTAATTTTTTTCACTCTGCCCTTCGCTAAACACATCAACTAGGTATCCTGCGCTTATGCCAAAAATGCCGAAACCGATACTGCCCCACATCTTTTGCTTCCCATAGTCTTTTCTTTTTTCATAACCTAAAGTATACGTAACATGTAGTAACAAAACAGAGAGTTTGATTTTAACGTTACCTGTTCCAGCATGACAGCATCATACTAACCAAGCAGATCGAAGCAGATTGCATCCGCTATGCTAACTACAACAGCCATTCCAACCCAGCTCATTATAGCCGCCCATAAGAATAAATAGAATCGTTGCGTATAAATTTCGGCATCGTTGTGCGAATTCTTAGCCTCTTGTAGAAGATGATTGAATGCGATATTATCGTGACAAGTTACCGTACACCAAGTTCTCATTTGATTCCCGCAGTTTGGAACATGTGCAATATTGTCCGTAAATGTGCGTATCCTCACATTCACACAATTATTTGCCTGTAAATTATTTCTCATAATATAGCTATAGCTAATGTTATTTCCTATGATAAATAGAAAACTTCCAGTGGGTTTCTTACAAGTAAGTCGTGATATGCATCAAATCCTGCACCAAACTCAAAAGTGCTGTTTGCAGAGACATTTTTACCAGATAGTTCTATGTAACCGTGAGATGGTCCTTTACAGGATAACTACAAATATAAATATTATATCAATTTGAGAATACTCATTTAAGAATGGAAAAGTAGTATGTGATAAAGTGTTATATCCGACTTATACCTGGCACACTGAATTGGTGTGTGTATTATCTAGTACAGTGTTTAAAGCTGCCTTTGAAAACTGCTTTTCCGGACAGATCTCTAAGTATGGTATGCTATTGTCACAGATAAGAGTAGTATTTGCACTCTTATCTATTTTAGGAATGTAGGAAATAGAGAAGAAAGCTACTGTCAATACAACTTGAAATATTAAGAATAAAATTTTATGCAGTTTGAATTTATCAGCCAAACCACCAAACAATGGTTTTGAAATTAAACCAGAAATTGGTAAAATTGTGTATATTGTGCCCACTAATGTAGCAGAAAAACCCAACTGCTTTGCTATTGTTGGCAAAAATGGCACTATTGGTCCCGTTGCTGCAAACGATAATTATTAACATATAGATATTTCTGAAACGGATATTGAATATATGTAACATTTTAATTAATCTTACCAGCATTATAAAGAAAATAATGTGCTTTTATAGGAACCAGATCCTTATCTATGTTTTGCAGCATGATGTAGGTATATAATTAGTCAACCGTAGCTGTGACTAATATCTGCAACAATAAAAACATATATAACGTTATATACACTGCTCAAAATGTTCTAAATGTAGAAAGATACACTCTGGTATAACCGTTCTGAGTCTCTTATAGCAAAATAGAACATTTTTAGCTTCATTTACATTTTTTCTCGCCTCAATCTATAGAAGATAAAACTCATATCAGGTGACTCGTCATCTATGTACCTGAAATGTGCCTTTAGCAAATGGTGGCGGTGATGACTTTGGTGCGCTAAACATGTGCTCGAAATTTCAGTATATTATATGGATATAAAAAATATGCACACAATGCAAATTCTTGCACTTTGCTCATGAGTCACACGTGTTACCTCATCAATTCCTTTTCTCTTTCTGTTATTTATTTCTCGCTTCTCCGGGAATGCGATGATATTGCTCTCGTTACCGTCGCTTCCTTCTTCCAGTATCCCACATCGATTTCTACGAAATTCTCATACAACCATACAATCATACAATAAGCGATATCTCACAACCTCCAGACCAAATCATCGCAACACTGGCGATCGCCATTGGACACATGAAAGATTCACGACTTTGACCAATCTTATCTATTAACCGCGCACTTCGTAGTATCAGATGAATCGTAGATCGAGAACAGATAAAGCAGGTGTAGCGCTCTGATAGTAATTTTTGTTTCTTTTATCGACCGTTACGCAATTTCGCCCGAATCTGCCGGTCGTCGATTGTCGACTACGAGACGGCTCTTGTCTCGTCGCGCATATTATTTGTTTAAATTATTTACACGTTCAAACGCGCATGTTTACGCGGGGAGACACACGTTATCAAGCATACTGCGCACATCGCGTTCACTGCGATTTTCTCTCTTTGCAGTTATCGGAGTCGAATTACTCGGCTGCAGTCATCTGTGCAATCATCTGAGTCGATGGTCTGCTATTACATCTGTTATATGTCATCGATCAAGGACGACAGTGGCTATGTCTCAAAATTCACTGGCAGTACTGAAAATACATAGTTTGTGTCACGTATATTATAGATTTCAGTGCGGACAGTGAATATTTGAAGCAGAGAGGAACATGAGAGCGGCGAACACGGCGTTTTCGGCGACACCGATTTTCCGCACTGTGAAAGAGCGCCATCTGTATTCATTTTTAGAGAGGAACTACGATGATACATCTACCAGAGAGGAAGCTGAAAGCGGCCAACACGACGTTTTCGGCGATACCGATTTTTCGCACTGGGAATGGGCGCTATCTGCATCCATTTTGAGAGGGGAACTACGATGCTACATCCACTTTTAGGTCTCGACGGTAAAACCTGCATCTGGTGGCTGTCCGTGCTACATCCACTTTCAGGCGGTTTATGTCTGTGCTACAACCATAATAGCGTACTTGACAAGCACGGTCTCGCGCATTGTTATGCATTTGTAACATGAATTAACATGTTTACATGCACAAAAAAATAAGAATTGAGATTATATATGATTAATATTATGAAGATTATATACGATTTATATCGATATATAAATATATGATAATAAGATAATATTTTGTGTGTACCTAAAATTATTTTTCCAAAATATTTCAGCGTTACGTTAGTATTTATTTATATTCCGGCAGGCGTTTTTTAGCGCAGTTGTGTCCGTGTGCATGTGTTGCATTGAAAGTGTGCGTGACGTACGTGTGCATATACGCACTCACACACACATACACACACACTCACACACACGTGTCATACGCAACAGATAGAATCTCAGAATCTATATGCTTAAATATTTTCAATTGCCGTACATTTCTATGTAAGAATGTAGTCGGCACACACACACAGAGAAACTGCTCCCGTCTATCCGTCTGAAGTCCCGCCCTCCGCTCGGCTTGTTTTGACGAGTCAAGCGAAAGAGAGAGAGAGAGGGAATGTGTTCTCTCCATCTCGCTCTGATTCGCAACGTTGCCGAGATTGTGCTTCCCGACACACGGCCGAGACTGACGTTTCACTTTCGGCGTGAATCTAACGAGATGATCAATAGCAATCGATTTCGACTAAACTCGTTGTGTCGATAGATTTGCATGACAAATTAACATTGCACTTAAAGATACGGCGTAGTATTGAAGCGTTTGCAAAAAAGTCGTGATTGAAAATCACGAGTGCTCCATGAACCAAATGAAGGAGCGAGCTTCTCAAAGAGCGTATGGCTTAGTGGAAGTACGCTGGACTCGCGGGGTTGAGGTCGGTGGTTCGCATCTCCTTGGTGATCGGCGTTGTCCTTTTTCGCCAATCATTTTTTTTTCGTTTTTTAGGAAAATGCACGTGTTACATACAACATACGTGTACCTCAATAAATTTTTTTTCATTTTTTAAGAAAATGCACGTATTGCATACAAGACACGGGCATCGCAAGCATTGCACGTTTCGTCGATGATACTTCCTCTGAGACCTCGCCCTCCGCTCGACTTGTTTCGACGAGCCAAGCAAAAGAGAGACAGAGAATGTGTTCTCTGTCTACATGCCCCCTCGCAGGGGGGGATGTGGGCTACTTCCTTTAGCTGACCTCGCCGACGTCCTCTCGATCGCGCACGTCTTCCGTCTTTTGACGGCGGACGACCGCGCGGTCAGGGACCTGGCCTGGGTGTCTCTGCGGGGAGTGGTTGCACGCCGCATCGGCCACCCCCCTGGTTGCGACCAGATCGCCGCCTTTCTCTCGGGGTCACTCGAGGGGGGGCTGAGGGGGGGAGGGGAGCGCTCCCTGTGATCGAGAGCGCGGAACGCCGCGCGTCATCAGTCGGATCGCTGCGCCATCCGGTGGCTATGGAGCGAGGAGCGCCGCGAGCTCGTCCTTCAATGTCGCGGTCCGCGGGGCAGGATCATCAAGATCTCACCTGGGACTCGTGCCCAGGTGATCGGACGCCTGCGTGCTGCGGTGGCGGAGTGGTATGATACCATCTTGTCGCGGAAACCAGACCAGGGGAAGGTGTTCGAGGTGTCGTCTCGTCATCGAGTGAGCAATCACTTTATGCGGGGCGACAGCTTCACCCGCTTCGCTGATTGGCGTTTTATCCACCGTGCTCGTCTCGACGTGTTGCCGTTGAACGGTGCACGTCGGTGGGGAGAGGGTGATAGACGTTGCCGGCGATGCGGGGCGAAGTCCGAGACCCTTCCTCATGTGGTCTGTCATTGCAGACCCCACTCCGCCGCGATTCAGTGGCGTCACGATTCGATCCTGCTCCAACTCGGCAGGGCTTGCTGTCTGCCAGGGAACGTGACCGTAAACCAGAGGGTCGAGGGCATTGATGGGGAACTCGGCGAGCTACGACCTGATCTCGTGATCAGGCACGAGCCGTCGAAGAGTGTCGTCATATGCGATGTCACGGTGCCATTTGAGAATCGGCCAATAGCGCTCGAGGAAGCTAGGGAGCGTAAACTCGCCAAATACGCTCCCTTGGCGGAGGCGCTCGGTCGACTCGGGTACCGTGTCGTCGTGACGGCCTTCGTCGTCGGTGCGCTCGACTCCTGGGATCCGCGCAATGAACCTGTGCTGAGGCTGCTGCGTATCGGCAGTACGTATGCGTCCATGATGCGCAGGTTCATCGTGTCGGACACCATACGCTGGTCAACGGACATCTACGTGGAGCACGTCTCTGGCGTCCGCCAGTATAGGGCTCCTCCACGCCGAGTCGATGGCGGCGTTCCCGATGTCTCGCCGCCGCGCGCGATTTGCCGCCGTGTGGCCGGCCCGCGAGCCGACGAGGCGGCGGAGATATAAATGTTCGAGCGGATGGAGAGGTGTCCCTGCAACAAAAAATAAGTTATGATCTATATTCATTTATTTTAGTGTATTATTTATTTATTTATTTATTTATTTATTTATTTACTTATCCATGTATTTATTTATCTGTCCGTCCTCTGATCTATTGACTGCCGCGGGGGTGGCGGTGGATGTGCTCCACCGTCGCGCCCGCGGCTGATATATTTTTAGATGACGGACTACATTTTTATGCTATATTTTATTTTATCCTAATTATTTATTTTGTTGTCGTGTTGTCTGGAATGTGGACTGCCGCGGGGGGGGGGGGGACGGATGCCCTCCGTCCTCGTCCCCGCGGCTGAAATATTTTATGATGACGGATATTAACTAAGCTTAAGGTACAAATACAGAACGAGAGAGCATATTTATTGTTTTATTTGTTATTAAATTTATTATTTCGTAATGTAAATGGAAGACGTGCTTTATACACACGGACATACCATGCGTTCTCAGGTCCCTCTTACAGCTTGGTGAGCCGTCGGAGGGTGGGTCGCGAGGATAATCGAGTGTGGATGTCGCGTATTTAACAGATTGGTTGAAGGGCCGGCGTCTCTATAGCAGAGAAGTCTGCTTCCTGTGCGGGCGGGACACAGAACGGGTGATCCTACAGAAAATATACTATAAAAATATGATAAATGGAGCACGTGGAGGATGAAGCACATTGCCCAAGTCTGCTAGCTTGGGCAATTATACTATTACTCCTACGTGCATATAGGTAATATGCGTCGTGTTGCCCATCGTCGGGGGGGCATAATATCCCCAGGCAGTATAATATATACTATAAAAATTATTCTATGCCCACTGTTGGGGGGGGGGGCGAACTGTCACCCGATAATAAACTATATAGAAATGGCGTCGGGCCTATGCTTATAATAATATTGTATTTACCCCGGGGGGCATGCCCCCGGGGAACATTTATTGTTTAAATAAAGTAAATCGAAGGTTAAAGATTTCCAACATTTCCCCGTTGATATCTCCGCTTCTACTGGGAGTAGAGAGTCGCCATTTACGGCAAAATGTACGGTTATGAGAGGACATTAATTTGGTGCCAGAACCAGGCCTGAATTTCTAACCGTTTAGGAGATATCGAAGGTTAAAGTTTTCCAGCCTTTCTTCGTCGATATCCAGCCTTCCTCCGTCGATATCTCCGCTTCTACTGGGAGTAGAGAGTCGTCCATGTAGTCGAAAATGTAGGGTTTTGAAAGGGCTTTAATTTGGTACCTGTCCGAAGCCTGTATCTCTAACCGTTTAGGAGATATCGAAGGTTAAAGTTTTCTAACCTTTCTCCGTCGATATCCAGCCTTCATCCGTCGATATCTCCGCTTCTATTGGGAGTAGAGGGTCGTCATTGTAGTCCAAAATGTAGGGTTTTGAAAGGGCTTTAATTTGGTACCTGTCCGAAGCCTGTATCTCTAACCGTTTAGGAGATATCGAAGGTTAAAGTTTTCTAACCTTTCTCCGTCGATATCCAGCCTTCATCCGTCGATATCTCCGCTTCTATTGGGAGTAGAGGGTCGTCATTGTAGTCCAAAATGTAGGGTTTTGAAAGGGCTTTAATTTGGTACCTGTCCGAAGCCTGTATCTCTAACCGTTTAGGAGATATCGAAGGTTAAAGTTTTCTAACCTTTCTCCGTCGATATCCAGCCTTCATCCGTCGATATCTCCGCTTCTATTGGGAGTAGAGGGTCGTCATTGTAGTCCAAAATGTAGGGTTTTGAAAGGGCTTTAATTTGGTACCTGTCCGAAGCCTGTATCTCTAACCGTTTAGGAGATATCGAAGGTTAAAGTTTTCTAACCTTTCTCCGTCGATATCCAGCCTTCATCCGTCGATATCTCCGCTTCTATTGGGAGTAGAGGGTCGTCATTGTAGTCCAAAATGTAGGGTTTTGAAAGGGCTTTAATTTGGTACCTGTCCGAAGCCTGTATCTCTAACCGTTTAGGAGATATCGAAGGTTAAAGTTTTCTAACCTTTCTCCGTCGATATCCAGCCTTCATCCGTCGATATCTCCGCTTCTATTGGGAGTAGAGGGTCGTCATTGTAGTCCAAAATGTAGGGTTTTGAAAGGGCTTTAATTTGGTACCTGTCCGAAGCCTGTATCTCTAACCGTTTAGGAGATATCGAAGGTTAAAGTTTTCTAACCTTTCTCCGTCGATATCCAGCCTTCATCCGTCGATATCTCCGCTT